TAATAATTAAAATAAAAAACTCACACAACTTAACACCAAAAAAAAAAAAAAACCCAACCTGATTAAAAACTGACAGAGGACCTGGCTAGACAGTTATCCAAAGACATACAGATGGCTAATAGACATGAAAGGATGCTCAACACCACTAATCATCAGAGAAATGCAAAATTAAAACCTCAATGAGATATCACCTCCCACCTGCCAGAATGGCTATCATCAATAAGTCAACAAAAAACAAGTGTTGGCAAGGATGTGAAGAAAAGGGAACCCTCACATACTGTTTGGTAGGACTGCAAATATGTGCAGCCACTTTGGAAAACAGTATGAAAGTTACTAAAAAAATAAAAAATAGAACTACTACATAATACAGCAATCCCAATTCTGGGTATTTATATGAAGAAACCTAAAATACTAATTTGTAAATATAAATATATATGGACTTCTATGTTCGCTGCACCATTATTTAAAATATCCAAGCTATAGAGACAACCTAAGTGTGCATTAGTAGATGAGTGGATAAAGAAGCTGTGGTACATTTACACAATGGAATATTATTTGGCCATAAAAGAGTGAAAACTTACCATTTGCAACAACATGGATTGACTCAGAGGGTATTATGCTGAGTAAAGTAAATCAAACAAAAAAAGAGACAAATACTATATGATTTCACATAAACAATGAAAACAGAAACAAACTGGCAGATACAGAGAACAAATTGATGGTTATCAGATGGAGGAAGGTTAGAGCAGTGGTTCTCAACCTTCTGGCCCTTTAAATACAGTTCCTCATGTTGTGACCCAACCATAAAATTATTTTCGTTGCTACTTCATAACTGTAATGTTGCTACTGTTATGAATCATAATGTAAATATCTGATATGCAGGATGGTGTTAGGTGACCCCTGTGAAAGGGTCATTCGACCACCAAAGGGGTCGCGACCCACAGGTTGAGAACCGCTGGGTTAGAGGGCTGGGTGAAAAATGTAAAAGGGATTAAGAAGTACAAACTGCCAGTTGTAAAAATAGTCATAGGGATATAAAGTACATAGGGAATATAGTCAATAATATAAAGAGCATAGGGAATGTAGTCAATAATACCGTAATAGGTATATAGAGTGCCAGATGAGTACTAGACTTGGGGTGATCACTTTGTAAGTTATATAAATGTCTAATCACTATATTGTACACCTGAAACTAATATAATATTGTATATCAATTCTAACTGAAATATACATTTACAAATTAAATGAAAACAATTTTAAGTGGCTTCCAGAACTTTTTTAGAATAACACTCTGAGTCTAGCCTATCTTAAATGTGATTTTATATAAAGAGCACTGTATGACACAAAGGACAATGTTTTTGAAAATACAGCGAATATGATTAACATGTTTTATATGGTTACTTCCAATAGTTTGCTTAGGTGAAGGTCAAAGTTGTCATATTAAAATGCTACTTGGTGAAGGTGATATTGCTTGGGCTGTTTTTGCAATACATACTGCTTTTACACTAAAGAATTCTTTTTTTCTTTTAAAATATATTTTATTGCTTTTTACAGAGAGGAAGGGAGAGGAATAGAGAGTTAGAAACATCCATGAAAGAGAAACATCCATCAGCCGCCTCCTGCACACCCCCCTCTGGGGATATGCCCGCAACCAAGGTACATGCTCTTGACCGGAATCAAATCTGGGACCCTTGAGTCCACAGGCTATCCACTGAGCCAAACCAGTCAGGGCAACACTAAAGAATTCTTATACCATATGGATTAGTTTTTCCAATTGGACAATAGTTCTTATTTAATGTTTAGGAGACCATAGAACAGAAATAACAGATGACTTGACATGGCTAGTATAATTACATCATTTAGAGGTAGGCCTAATCATTGAATCTCTACATTCAGCAGGAAAGCTTAATGTTTCTCAGAACTTTAATAGGATTGCAAACCAAAGCTTCAGATGTATTTGCTAAAAATTTTACCCCCTCAAAAGGGTGCCCTTCTCTCTACAGGGAATTAGTTTGCTGCAAGTGCATATATAGTACATTCTGGAGATACAGAATCATAAAGGTAAACAGTTTCAGTGTTAGAAAGCAGAAACACCCAATTTTCAGTATTAAGTGAAAACAATTCTGTAAACTAAAAGCAGTAACGTATAAACCACCTGTATTGACTGTGCACAAACACACTGGAATGTTTCTAAAGTGTGTGGAAAAAGCCAGGGACAGAAAGGCATAATCAACCAGAGCAGCATCTGCTATCTTGTTTCAGTATTTCTTCTGCAATCCACACTGGGAATCATAAAGCTAGAAATATCTAGACAGGTCATCTCGGCTGCATATACACTCACGGCCCATTTTCAAAGATCTCTGTTTAGATCTCCAGTATAGCTTGTTTGTATCTTATTTCTCAGCACCTACAGTCTAGGACAAATTACCTTTATCTTATCAATGAAGATGATGAATCACTACATTCCTAGTACACACTTTTACATACTTGGAAGTCTTCAAGCAACTAGCCTTCTCTCATTAACAAGATAATCACAATTCTTTTTACCTTTCCCCAAACATCTTATTTGCTAACCTTGAGACCTTTCTTACTGAGCATCCCTTATTACTTTCCAAACCTGTTGTAACAGTTTGGTACTTTAATATGAGCTTCACAACTCCCCAGGGTTTAGATTATTTCATGATTCCTTCAAACACTAACAGTTTCATTTTTAAGAAGCAATGCTATAACTTGGAATCAATTATTCCAAACAATATTCTTTGCTCTGGGTTAAAAGATCTCATATAACTTACCATCTAGTAGGAAAAACAGACATTAAATCAGTAAACAAATAGATGTCAAAGTGAGGTATTGTGAATAAAATAAGAAATAGGGGTAGAGAGGGTTTTTGTGAGGAGGAAAGAAGGCAGTAGCCATGCAAAAATATGAGACTAATGTTACAAGCAATTTTTGGCTAAAGTAGGTCTAACTGGTTATCCTGCTATATATGTATATGCATTCCTTCTGAATTAGATAACTTTGCACTGCTCCCTGCTGAATCTTCTCGTTCTTACTTTGAAAACTAATTCTATCTTTTAAAAGTATTTCATTACCTCCTTAACTGGTATATCCCATAAGTTTTCAAGAATGCCTTCTAGCCGAACCGGTTTGGCTCAGTGGATAGAGCGTCGGCCTGCGGACTGAAAGGTCCCGGGTTCAATTCCGGTCAAGGGCATGTACCTTGGTTGCAGGCACATCCCCGATGCGGGGAGTGCAGGAGGCAGCTGATTGATCTCTCTCATCGATGTTTCTGGCTCTCTGTTCCTCTCCCTTCTTCTCTATAAAAAATCAATAATATATATATATATATAAAAGAATGCCTTCTAATTTAAACAAATATTTCATAATATTAGCTAATTATTTAAATTACATTTAACAATGGTGAAAAATAACAACATTTGAAAAAAAGTTCTTTGTATTACTGGATAGACCTAAATGACCTTTCTAGAAAATAATAACTTGGCGATGCTTTATAAGCAAAACAGGCTGAATGCAAATTGGCAGAGTATGACCCATTCAGAAGATAAGACTAAGGAGACGACGGAATCACTGATCAGTTGCTCTAATAGTGAAAGGCCCAATACAGAAGTTAGAGGTTGGTAGACAGGTCACGTATATGAGATGAAGCAGCAAATCAACTGTCGAGGTTGGAGAACCTTGTGCACCTCAACAGCTCTTTGAGACATGCTGCCACCACCTGGGCAGTAGGCAATTTTGAAGTATAGGAAGATTTTAGTTGTGATTAACAGTTAATTAACAATTATAGAGTCAAAACGCACACTTTTCATTTTATGAAATTATCGTATTTTTTTGCCAAGTCTTTGAACATTAAAAAAAGGCAGAGATTTAGGCAGATGTGCTTAGAATCCTGCTGTACTATTTTTTAGAGAGAGAGGGGGAGAGGAATAGAGAGATGGAAACATCCATTAGAGAGAGAAATCAATCTGCTGCCTCCTGCACACCCCCTCCTGGTTCATGGGTCAACACTCAACCATTGAGCCACACCAGCCAGGCTCTGCTCTGGTTCCTTATCTGTAAAATGGGTATAAGAATACTATCAAAGGGGGTTGTTTAGTCTCAGGATTAGTGATAATAGATGTGAAGCATCTAGCTCAGTACCTGGTACATAGTAACAACTCATTAAATAGCTTTAAAAATTATTCTTCTTCAGTATATCTTCCAAATAGCACTAAAACTTGATTATTATTTTTTTTTAAATCACAGAAATATGCCTATTAAGAAATGTATTACATTGTGTATCTATGGAAGAAAAAACTCACAATATAAAACTTAGGGAAGAAACCAGTTCCATCAAAATAAGTCAAATATGTTAAGTGTTGCTGCAGGGAAATAAGCACAAAATGTTGAACATGTAAGAAAGCTCTCAAAACGTTTAGTCAGGTCTAGATCATTACAAGTGAATCTTATTCAGGTTTTACTCATTCACAATTTGACATGTGTCAGGGTAAAATGTAACTCTGTACCATCCAAAGAAAATACTTATAAACAAACACATGACAATAACTAGGAATTAACTTTCTAAGAAAAGAAAAACCTGTTACAATTTTGTAAGATTCCATTTTCAAAATATAATTGCAACAGAGCAGCGATTTTCAACCTTTTTCATTGCATGGCACACTTAAACTAACTAGAGGCCCAGTGCACGAATTAGTGCACAGGTGGGGTCCCTCAGGGTGGCTTGCGGAGATCAGGCCCCAGCTCGAGCCCCCAGCCTCGCAGCCCCACCTGGCACCTTGCCGTGGCCTGGCACCGCCCCCTCACCTGCTCCACCATCCCGTCTCCAGGGCGAATGATTGAGGCCTGGCCCCCCCCCCCCCTCTGGCTCCCTCAGTGCCTGGGAGCCGGGCGGTGGCCCCGCCCCCTGCCGCTGCCACTGGTGGCCGTCTGCAGGGCAATCGGGCCCCCGCTTGCTCTGCCTTGGCCTGGTGCCGCCCGCTCACCTGCTCCACCATCCTGCCATGGTCCCACTCTCATCGGTGCCCATCGTAGCTGGCAGCGCCTCTACTGCCACCCGCTGCCAGCGCCATGTCTGCTGACACTCGCCATGTTCCGTGCTGCCCCCTGGTGGTCAGTGCACATCATAGTGAGCAGTCAAACTCCCAGTTGAACTCTTGGTCGAATGACCGCCTAAGGGGACAATTTGCATATTAGGCTTTTATTATATAGGATTCCTAAGTGGAACAACAACAAAAATGGCTTTCTCTCTCTCCCTTCCCCTCTCTCTCTCTCAAATCAATTCCTATGCAAAGACAAACCCTACTTATTTAAAAGTGTAAGGTTTAATTTGGTTATTTACATGGATACAGTTTAATTTCTTAAAAAAATAAATACAGGCAGACCTCATTTCCTTGTTATTCTAAGCTGGTTTTATGAAAGACATTTGAGAGAGAATTAAAACCCATTTAAGGACTTTTTCAAATAAAGAACAAGACCTTAACAAAACTGGCTATGATGTTTGCACTGAATTCCTTATTCTGCATTGCTTATGAAGCATAAGTCAGAAAAGTGGCCAAATCCAGTTCAACTGACAGAATTTGAAAGTGGAAAGAACACCAGCCATAACATAACTAGTATACTTTCCACAAACAGAAGGGGAAAGAGGCTCAGAGTGACTTAGAGTATACATGACCAGCAGAGACAAATGAATCTCAACTCACAAACTGACTCTCACTACAGAAAGAACCAATCTTGACACCGCCTCTCATTCAGGCAATTGCAGGTTGCAACAGGAGCTCAGCAGTGGCAACTCTATGCCATACCTGGGCTTGCAGCCTGCCCTGGGCCTGGAAGCTAGCTCGGTAACGCGACTGTGAAGGCATGGTCGAGCACTAGAGCCAACGAGCTACAGAGGCTTTCTCATGCACTTTTCCCTCTGGCCCAGAGCTCCTATGCGTTTAACAAGGGATGCAGCAAACTACTGGGGAGGCAGTAATGGGGACACTGTCTCTCCACCTTGGCCTCTGGGACGAAGGTTGTTAAAATAAATTCTGACCTCCCTCCTGGAATTACCACTTGGACAAGTTTTAAAAATTCACATCAAGTTACCTCCAGCAAGTAGTTTTCGGTAAACAGTCCAGGGACTGACTCTGCTTTTTCTGGCTAGGACAGGTACAGGCTAGGTCCAAGTAGCTTTGAAACCATCATCCAAGTTTTCAAACAAGAGTAAGAAAACAACTGCCGCTAATAAAACATACAAACATTAACATACGCCCAACGTAACACTATTTTAGATCATTAGATTATTTGCCAAGAGCCCGTTCCCTGGTAAATAATAGTTCCTGTTGTTCTACCTAGACTAGTTATACATGTTACAGCTTGCTCCTCAGAGAGTACATTCCATAGTCTTTCGAGAATAAAAACCTGCTTTATTTGTCATACAACAGTGAAGAGGTCTTGCAACATGTGCAGAAGTGGTCAAACAGCGCGGTTCAGTGCAAGCCATCACAAAGTCTGGTCGCCAACCAAGCCAGAGCTCATCTCTCGGTTCCCGCAGATCAGAAGACAACATTAACTCACTCCTGCTGGTTGGCTTTTGCATCCTTTACTTGTGTCCTGAAAGAACAAGTGCCTCTGTGGGAACTCGATGCAGTTTAACTACTGATCGTTTACTTTGGGTAAATATCGATCATTCTTTCGCGAAATGAGTTAGGTTCTTCAATTAAAAACAAACAGCAAAAAGTCCTCACACAGCACGGCTGCATTTCCCCTTAGTAAGAAGGTTCAGCGCACCCACCAGGGTCCAACTGTTTTTCCGTCTCCTCTACGCGAGGCTTTAACTGCAGCGAAAGGAGTCGCTGGGTGGCCCTCACCTTGACTTTGGGCGGTTTGTGGGGACCAACGCCTTCCTCGCCGCCGCTCTGGGGTCGGAGTTTCCAGGGGCCCCACTGATGTCAGAGCATATCCATTCCTAGATCCGTTCCCGGCCTCGGGGCAAAGGCAGAGACGCTGACGTCCCACCCGCTCCCGAGGGCCAGTCCCACCCGCGCGGCCTCACCTGCCACCCCCCGGAGACCCCGCCCCCGCCCCGCGCCCGGGAAGCCGAGGTCCCGGGCCGCACTCAGCGGCCGCGCAGCCGGAAACTGGCCGCTCGACTTCCTCAGGCCGGATCCGGACCCGGCCGACCTGTGGGCGGGGCGGGGAAGCCGGGCTTCCGCCTTCCTGCTTCCGGCCTGGCGGTGAGTTGGGAGTTGGGGTCCGAGTCCAGGGTCCTGGGCGCGATGCGCGGGAGGCTGTGGGCTGCTCGGGCTGGTGCGGCCCTGGCGCCGGGCGGAGGCTGCCGCGGCCCGGGGGCGCGAGGTGTGGCGGGGCCTCCCCGTGCCCCCCCCCCCCGGACGGCCGCTCCGCAAGTCCCGCGGGCCCGCACTAGCCGGGGCCGGAAGGCTCGGTGCCGGGGCCCCAGGGGCCGGGTGGGGGGACGAGGGGGGAACGAGCGAGAGGGAGCCCCAAGGAAGAGGTGCAAGCGCGGAGGCGGTGAAGCGCCGACCGCGCAGCGTCGGGCGCGGCTCTGGCCGGAGACCAGCCCGTGAACCCGTAACGGAAGCAGAAAGAAATTTATTCCTGACAGTGAGGGAGGCCCCCGGGAGGTGCGTGGCCTGTGGACTGGAACCCCTGTGTGTTAATGGGACAACGTCGCCATGAACCAGGCCCTTCGCTCCTGCTTTATTCTTTATGGCAAAGTTCCTTTAGCTCCGCATTTTGCATGAGTTAATTCATTGCTGGGCTGGAGTTGAAACAGGCGGTTCTCTGTGGAGCCTCGGTCCGACTGTGTGGGTGGGAAGGTGAGCTAGGATATGGAACAAGTCTTAGGCACTTGAATGTATATTCAGCACAAAACATGAAGAAATCGTAGCCTATAATTAAAACCAGTGGTAATATTTTTCTTGAGGTGATGACATTGTGGGTGATTTTGTTTTGGTTATCTTTTCTGATTCTTCTATGGAGAATACGGATCCTGTAATGGGGAGAGAGAGAAAAAAACATTTTTTTAAAAAATATATTTTATTGATTTTTTACAGAGAGGAAGGGAGAGAGAGAGTTAGAAACATCGATGAGAGAGGAACATCGATCAGCTGCCTCCTGCACATCTCCTACTAGGGATGTGCCCGCAACCCAGGTACATGCCCTTGACCGGAATCGAACCTGGGACCTTTCAGTCCGCAAGCTGACGCTCTATCCACTGAGCCAAACCGGTTTTGGCGAGAGAAAAAAACTTTAAAGCGTAAGGTGAGGTGTTTGATTTTATAATTATGTACCTAGTCCTATAAGTAAATAGTCGATGGCATATCCTATCTAATAAAAGAGAAACATGGTAATTAGTCATACCTATGCTATCCTTCCCATTGGCTAATCAGGGCGATATGCAAATTAACTGCCAGCCAAGATGGCGGCAGGCAGCCAGGCAGCTTGAAGCGAACATGAGGCTTGCTTGCTTCAGTGACCGAGGAAACCAACATTCCCCGCCTGCCGCTGCCGGCCTCTGAGCTTGCAGTTTGAAACATTGTTACAAATATAGAAGCTAAACAAAACCCCAGAAACCTGCTTTCAGCCAGCCAGGATCTCAGAGCTGGAGTTGAAACAGTGTTTCGATAATAGAACCCAAACAAACCAGATACCTGCTTTCAGCAGCCGAGGCCTAAGAGCTGGAGCCAAGCCTCAGAGCTAAAGCTGGCCCAGAATAAAAAAAAGAAAAAAAAAGAAAAAAAGGAGCAGTTGGGAGCTTCAGTCACCCGCCAGCCTGAAAACAGCTTTCAGCCCCTCACCCAGACTGGCTAGGCACCCCAGTGGGGACCCCCCACCCTGAAGTGTGTGTGACCAGCTGCAAACAGCCATCATCCCCTCATCCAGGCTGGCCAGGCACCCCAGTGGGGACCCCCACCCTGAAGGGTGTGTGACCAGCTGCAAACAGCCATCATCCCCTCATCCAGGCTGGCCAGGAACCCCAGTGGGGACCCCCACCCTGATCCAGGACACCCTTCAGGGCAAACCAGCCAGCCCCCACCCGTGCACCAGGCCTCTGTCCTATATAGTAAAAGGGTAATATGCCTCCCAGCACTGGAATCAGCGGAGCAGTGAGGCCTCCCAGCACCAGGATCAGTGGAGCCGCGAGGCCTCCGGGCACCGGGATCAGCGTGACAGGGGGCTGCGACCAAACCCCCTGATCACCCTGTGGCTCTGTGTGACGGGGCGGGGCCACAACCTCCCTATCCGCCCTGCTCTGTTCGTGACAGGGGAAGGCGCCCCAACCCCCTGATCAGCCCTGCTCTGTGCCTGATAGCGGATAGCGGGGAGCTCCCCAACCCCCTGATCTCCCTGCGACTCTGTGTGTGACAGGGTGCGGCGCCACAGGGTGCGACAACCCCCTGATCGGCCCTGTTCTGTGCGTGACGGGGTGGCGCTGCAACCTCCGCATTGACCCTGCCTTGAGTGTGACGGGGCGGTGCCCCAACCCCCCATCGGCCCTACCCTGAGCGTGACTGAGGGTGGCATCGCAACCTCCCGATCCACCCTGCTCTGTGCATGATGGGGCAGCGCCCCAACTCCCCAATCAGCCCTGCTCTGAGCCCGACCAGGGGCTGCACCTAGGGTTTAGGCCTGCCCTCTGTCACCCGGGAGCAGGCCTAAGCCATCAGGTCGTTATCTCCCGAGGGGTCCCAGACTGCGAGAGGGCACAGGCCGGGCTGAGGGGCCCCCCCCCCCCCCCGAGTGCACAAATTTTTGTGCACTGGGCCTCTAGTTTAGTATAAAAAGTTCAAGATCTAGGAATGGATATGCTATAACATCAGTGAGCTAACATCGTTTTATGTCACTGAATTATAAAATTCATAATTGTATTGTTGAAATAAGTTATTTAGTAAAATACATGCTCTCCAGTAATTAGGATTTTCTTATAGGGCATTTGCAGTTGTAATTATTTCTTTCTAATTAGGAAGAAATAAATTGATATTAGATGTCTATAATGTGTCAGGCAATTTTAGGTGTCATTTATAGGTTGCATATCTAGTATTTAGAAATTTTTCATTTAAAATTGTATTATAATTATCCTGAAAGTTGTGATTTAAAGCTTGTTTTTTATTCTTTCAACCCATCCAGCATATAGAATTTTAACCTTCTCTCAGAAGTGTGTAGTAGAGCTAAAGAAGAAGACAACCAACCAGGGGTCATCCTTCTGAAATTGTAATTGGCTCACTAATCCAGGACAAAGTTAGAGATCACAACTCAAGCATAAGGTAGATAATTTTTTAAATTCCAGCTGAAATTGTAAGTGACTGTATATATACCCATTCCTACCAAGGTATTCTAATTCTCCACTTTGAATAGAGGTTGACACAAATGTGAAAGGTAGAAAAGCCTCTAGGGCACAATAAAAAATGACACTCAAATCCACACTCTCCTCATTTGCCAGATGGCCCTCCCTTATCAACTCAAAAGGGAACAAAATCCATGGCACCTGTCATGGTTAATTTTCCCATTATTAAATATATTCTCATTGATTAAATTATGTCTTCAAGTAGGAGTCCTCAAAGCTGAAAGAGGGCATAAAATAGCACGTCACATTTTGCTTATATCTTTTTGCATATGAATGGATAGTATTGCAGCTTCTTCTCCTTTTTATTCCTGGAAAGGGCCATCCATTACCTCTCCTACTCCAAGCATTTCTTATACTCTGGCTTGTCTTTTTCAAACACCAAAGTTGATGATTTGTATTTCTGTTAATACTTAATAGTACTAAGGCTATGTAAAAAAACAACAAAAACAAATGGTACTTAGCTGTTTCTTGGAATGAGTATATAAAACTCAAGATTCTTATAAAAGTTTGCTGCTAAAGTTTATCTTGAATATAGGCAACACGTGAGAATGCATAGCCTTTATGACAGATTCCACATGGATTTTACTTTTATTTTCTATACCTTCACATCTTTTAAGTGTCAGTTTTCTGGTTGTCCTAGTTGAATTATTCTTTCTTAACTGGAGATATTAGTCTATTAAAATAGTACTAATTAGTACTTTTAAAAAACAAATAACTAATGAGTGATAATGGAATTCTGAGTTAACTGATTGTATAATGTAACTTTTTCAAAATTTGATTAACTACATATTCTTTTCTCTTGTTCTCTCCTTCCAGTCCCCTTTTCTTAACACCGTTACAAAGATGTTTGACATAAAAGCTTGGGCTGAGTATGTTGTGGAATGGGCTGCGAAGGATCCATATGGCTTCCTTACAACCGTTATTTTGGCCCTTACGCCATTGTTTCTAGCAAGTGCTGTACTGTCCTGGAAACTGGCCAAGATGATTGAGGCCAGGGAAAAGGAGCAAAAGAAAAAACAAAAACGCCAAGAAAATATTGCAAAAGCTAAACGACTAAAAAAGGATTGAAGGAATGAACAGGCTCTGCAACCAGAGGAAACTCTTTTGGGAAATTATGCAGCTTTGGAAGGACCCTGTAAGGTTTCTTATCTGGATTTATGGTAGTATTTAATAAACGAAGCCTGAGCATATGGAAGAATCATGTTAGTTCTGACCGCTACTTCTGCAGCTTTTAGGCTTCTGTATAGAAGTCTATTGACAGTTATTTATTATGCCAAAAATGCTTTCTAACTGACTTAGTCATTTGCCATTTTGCAGCTTAATACATCCTGTGGAGAAAAAATGACTTTAGATTATGAACTCTACTCAAATACTGGCTCAAAAAGGGTCCTGTTCTGGACAAAGGAAACTAAGAATGTAAAAATGAGAACTGTCCTGAGGTGAAAAGTATGTTTTGGCTTAAAAAGAGATACAGCATATTAATTATATCTTTTGTCATTATTGCTTATATCTTAGAATCATTTCTGGCTTTCTCAAAGCAATATTATTAATCAGTGAGTACTTCATTTTCTACATTTTCCTCATTCTAGCCTTCGAGAGACTGGTAATTATCAGACATTCTGCCTTTTTTAAAATCTAATTTTATAAAAAATTCATCTTGACTGTATAGAGTACCACCTACTAACAGTTTTTGTACTTATGAACACTGCCATTTACTTAGAGATGACTTGTTGAATAGAGCAACTCTGTGATTTAAAGCTTGCAGTAAAAATGCTAACCCTTGTAGTACTTTGGAACCAGTTTATTCTTACTCGTGTTAAGAAATGTGAAGTAGTTAAAATGTCTTATCTGATAATTTGCTGATTATATAGATACCTCTTTTAATTTTTATTCCATTTTTTTGAACTCATGTAGTGATGTTCTATAATTTTTGATCAAACAAGTTCACGGTGAAAATTAAAATTTCAATTTTGTTTTCAAGGAACGCTAAAAGAGTAAGTCATATTTCATAAGTTAAGTGCATGGTCCAAAATTTTACTTGCTATCACTATTTAATAGCTCATTAATATTTTCCTCATCCTGATAATGAATTCTAAATTACAGAAATTATCCAACAGCTTTAATTTAAAAATGAAAGTAGATATTGAAATAAAATTGATAATTTTTATAAGGGGCTTTAGTTTTTTTGGGGGGGGGCGGGGTGATTAAATAATTGAAGTTAGTTATGTTATGAAAGTTAGACTTTTCAAAGGGTTATGAATTTCATTTGTAAATAAGCATACTTGTAAAAGTTGAGGCTAATGTTTCTTAAATGAGAACCTAAGGACCCCAACCAAGTATGTTTATGGACTGATATGAACAATACTACCACTATTTTAGGTTGTCAGTTCCTACTTGATGCCATTGTAAACAACACATTGCAACCCTAGGCACTGAAATAACCCAGTGTTTAGTTATGAGCTAGTAATTCAGGTGATCAAGATATGCTTTTTGTATTATTGAAATGAAAACAATACTTTAAAAAAATGCTTAGGTATAACTACTGACCCTCGTGTCTGCATAAGCCAGTTTAAGAAAAAACTAGGTTAAGATATATCTAAAATGCTTTTGGGTTTCTGCCATCAAGTTGTTCACAAAAGGTATTTATATACATAGGTCTCACTTATGGCCACATTTTAGAGTAAAAGTACTACCACAAAAGAAATATTCCTCTTAATTCTTAGTTATCTATTAAAGCTGTGGTTTCATTGGTTCTGTTGTGATACTTTAAAGGTATTAATTTAACTGAAATATTTTTTTCTATAATTTCTTTTATAGTCTTAAACATATGCCAATTTTATGTTTGTTTGGCATATGGCATTTGTTGTTTCTTTAGCTTTTCCCAACACTTATGAAGCCTTTTTATACATGTAAGGTCAGTAGATTTTACAATATTGTGTCTGTGTCTTAGTGTGTGTGTCTTAGTGTGTGTGTGTGTGTGTGTGTTTGTTTATGGGGGTGGGAATTCAAAATTGAGCCTACTGTGAGATTTGGGATTTTTAAGAAAAATTAATCTTTTCTCATTGAAACAAATAGCACTGTAGTTAAAAGAATCACATTTACTATTATCCAGAATACTTCTTTTAAAAAATTGCCTACTTATATTGTTTGAAGTTCTGAGAAGTAATACAATCACCTTTTTTTTTTTTTTTTTTGGCTGGTTTTGGGGGAAAAAAGACAGGCTGCCTGTAGCAAACATTTAAAAACCCCTCCTCCTCTCTGCGAAGTTTGTGGGTCGAAATTTGATCCCTCGTGTCCATGTGATAAACTTCAGCATGGTATTACTACTGTATCAAGATGTGCAAGGGCATTTCTAACTTTATTTCTTGAAATTATAGTAAACAAACTGGAAATAAGCTTAGGAAGCTATGAGCTTGAAACCCAATGTTGAAATCCTATATAAAAGTGTAATATGCAAATTAACCGAACAGTGGAACAACCCAGGGGGCGGGGCCAGCCAAGGCATGTGTCAGCAGGCAGAGGGAGGGGATGGCGATCGGGGGGGGGGTGGGGGGGGGAGAGCGGCAACCAGCAGTAGCAGAGGCATGATGGGTGGGGGAGAGGGGTCAGAGCCGGCTGCTTGCTGGCTGGCGCCATCCCGATGGCCCACCCAGTCGCCTCCCACAGAGGGAGGCCCCCTGAGGGCTCCCAGACTACGTGAGGGCATGCAGGGCTGAGGGACCCCGCCTGCCTGAGTGCATGAATTTTTGTGCACTGGGCCTCTAGTCCTATGTAATAAAGGGGATATGCAAATTGACTGTCACTCCATAATAAAGATGGTGCCCATAGCCAATAAGGAGGGGATATGCAAATTGATGTGACAAAGATGGCGGTGGCCGGGCCAGGATGTTTGCATTGTTGCCATGGTGACGACACAAGTGTTCCGCCCCACCCATGGAGGGCCTCTGGGCAGGAGAAAGGTCTTCAGCTGAGCATGAAGAAGGAAAATGGAGATATGAGAAAATTGTCTTTTGTAAGGAAAAGCTTCTTATAACAAAACTAGAAGATTGAGGCAGCGGAGAGCATCTGGGCAGCAGGCTCAGAGCAGCCAGGCCCCGCAGAGAGCAGAGAACCACAGAGCGTAGGCCTAAGCCATCAGGGCTCCCGGATTGGAGAGGGCTCCCCTGACGGCTCCCAGACTGGACAGAGTGCAGGTTAGGCTGAGGGAACCCCCCTGCCCCCCTCTCCCCACCTCTGTGCACGAATCCTCATGCACCAGGCCTCTAGTAAATTATAATTAACAGCTCCTTACCCATTCCATCTTTTCTTATAGATGAAGTAAGGGAAAGTGGCAAGGGGCACTTTACACCTCATATGCTTTTCACTTAGAGAAAGTTTGGTTTCTATTTAGGAATGATTGCTTTTATGTTTGCAATTGGTTATAGTATCACTGGTTGATATCCTATCTGGACAAATTCTGTATCTCTCAAACATTAAAAGGGATTCCATGTTCAAATACCAAAAGTTTTAGAAACATAAGGTAAAACTTAGGATTCATTCCTTCATCTATGTTGGAGTCTTTTAACTTAATTTGACTATTATAGACTCTCACCTCTAATTTTTTCTTCAAAGAACACAAACAAAAAGCTTTGGCTAAATAAATTCAGGTTTTATTTTAAATAGTGTGGGTAATGAGATGGCCTTAAGAAAATATAATGGTATTGGCTCAATGCTAATTAAGAAATAAAAATTAAAAAGAAAAATGATAGCTAGAAATATGTTAGTAAAAGTAGGAATGGAAACAGGTAACAGATAATAGGGAAAAATTATTTCTTCCATTTTTGTTGATTTTTAACTTTAAATATCCAAAGCATAGCTAATAAGCTAGATTTATAGTATTAAACCCAACAGCCAACACATTTTCTATACTGAAATAGTTCTTAAAATATAATAAGCCCAATATTGATTAAAAATATATATTATATACATGTATTGTAGAGGCATAAGAAATCAGGAAGGATTTACCTCTGAGAAAGTACTTAAATTTTTTTAAAAATTGCATAGTTTTGAAGTCTGTCTTGAAGAGGTGAAAAACATTTTCTTTAAAATAATTATAAATGTCCAAAATATAACAATTTAAAATATGAAATATTGTAGACAAGCTAATATTTTATTTAATGCTTTAATTCTGCTTTGCATGTGCCTGGCCTAAAAGCCAAGTATAATGAAAAGACTGTTAATTAGGTCAAGATTACAGATCAGTTATTATGTAGGACATTTAACTCTATTCTGATACCACCTAACAGTCAAGCGGTCATCCTAAAAATGTTAGCCTTGAGGAAAGGAGTGTGAATGGATTACTACAAACTTCCTCACCTTTCAAAATGACTTTGAAAGTGCATATTCAAATGATGGTGGGCCGGTACCATCTTACTGTAACATAAGGTATTTTCCCACAAGAACTCGGCTGGAAATTTTAAAAAATACATTTTTTTGCTGCTTCTGTAAAATATTTTAAATGAAAACTATATAAATTAAAAGCAATATAAATTCTGTCATACCTTAGATGTCTATAAACAGGCTATATATATATGGCAAACATTTACTAGCACAAGAGATACATTAAGCTAATATGAATTTGGCAATAGAAATATTCTAGCATGTTAGGATATTTACAATTTTTCTTGTAATCTAGAATTCAAGAACATCTTAATCTTAATTTACAATCAATTATACTATAAATTTTACCTATTTTTATGTAGCCTAGTTCCTTTTTTGCCTCTATGGTAAAATGTACTAATACTTTCTACAGTGGAACCTCGTTTCTTGAACTTAATTTGTTCCAGACGGCTGTTTGAAACCAAATCATTTTTTCCCACTAGAAATAATGTAAATTGAATTAATACATTCCAGACATCCAAATGATTCCCTGTTTTAACCTTATATACAGCACATGTCTAATGTACTGTTTAATCTATAAACACTTTAAAAACAAAAAGGGTATGAAATGTAAATGAAAATTTAACAAAAAGGAAAGGAAATGTATAGTAAAAATGAAAATAATAAGCAGCAACAAAAGCAAGCAAACAAACAAACACACCATGAAAGTACAGCACAATATCCTGAGATTTTAGCTGGTAAACTGACTCATATTCCCTTATTGCCTGAGAGACTTGTGACTGATCATCTAGCTATTAGCATGGAAGAGTTGTCAGGTTGAGAAGCCAATTGTTCAAGATGGGAGACGTTTGAGAATTGAGGTTTGATTAATGATATAAAGAGATAGTAATAGGGCTGCTGGAATATTAGTATTATCATCTAGCAGCTTTGTCATTAAATCAGTATTTACAGTGATTAGATTTGATTACTTGTTTTAGTATATTTTATGAAGTATTTTTCTGTAGTTTATTAAGCAATAAAAAATTTTACCATCTATTAAGTAAAAATCTTAACCTTTGTTTTAGGAGTTCATTGTTAACACTTACCCAAGGATTTCCTTATATTATTCAAAGCATTAACATTTGGGTCATTTATTCAGTACATATTTATTGAGTGCCTATTAAAAGGCCAAACACTGTGAAAAGAACTCTGTATTAAAATTAGAAGACTAGCTAGCAACAAAACTAGGTTGTACACTTCAAAAAATATATGACCCTTCAAAAATACCTTTGTATAAAATCAGTGTTTTAATGTTGTCATCCATCTACATTTTTCTTCAATATACAAGTCACGGGAATCCCCACTATCAGTGGAATCACTCTCTTAGAACCCTCTCCTATTTTCCATTTTCTCAAAGTAATTTTTAATCTCATGGAATTCTAGTAATTGTACTATTTCTGTTTACTCTTCTCTCAGACTTTTGTGATGGATAGTCTGCTTCTAATGGCCCTAATTCTTGTCCTCAACTCCATCCTCAATCAATAAGCTAGCTAGCTTTTGTCCCATCTACTCATCGAGGGCATACGGTTTTTCTGTTTTGTTTTTCCCCATTTATCAATCAAGTTTTCTTGGTCTAAACATGTTTTATCCAATTTTATGTATGTGTTGTTTTTTTTTAAAATATGTTTTTGCTGATTTCAGAGATGAAGGGGAGGAGAGAGAGCGAGAGTGAGATAGAAACATCAATGATAAGAGAGATTCATCATTTGGCTGCCTCCTGCACGCCCCCTACTGAGGATTGAGCCCGCAGCCCTGGCATGTGCCCTGACTGGGAATTGAACCATGACCTCTTGGTTCATGGGTCGACGTTCAAAAACTGAGCACACTGGCTAGGCTTCAATTTTTATATTCTTGATTAATCCTTAGAACCTTAGAGAATGCCTTTCCAGAAATAGTAGTCTTCTCATTTTTTTCTTTTATATTTAATCATTTAGGAGAGGTCATTATCCTTATCATTTCTACCAAGATATATCTTGGAGGTCCTTAAATGATAAGGATCCAAAATCCTGAGCATTTCCAGCTATATTATACTTCTTATGGGAACAATCCAAGGAGGGAAAAACTAAGCACATTCCTCACATTTCTTGTGCATACTAAAAGAAACGAATTCTTAAACTTAATGGAATAGAGAACTATTGTATATAGCAGGGGTGGGCAAACTTTTTGACTCAAGGGCCACAATGGGTTCTTAAACTGGACAGGAGGGCGGAACAAAAGCATGGATGGAGTGTTTGTGTGAACTAATATAAATTCAAAGTAAACATCATTACATAAAAGGGTACGGTCTTTTTTTTTTTTTTTTTTTTAGTTTTATTCATTTCAAACGGGCCGGATCCGGCCCATGGGCCGTAGTTTGCCCACGGCTGGTATATAGTCATAAAGTCACAAAGTAATTTTTTACTTTTATTTGTTAAAATAGTCACATACATATAAATGAAACTACTTTTTACCACGGCACTCATTGATTGCTCTTCTTCTTGCTGTCTTGTGGCATCCAGGATCCCGGTTGAAAGGTTTGACCAGTGCTGGTGGGATCCACTGATGGTTCATCTTTTCCAAAGTATGGGGCAGATGCATGCCCTTTAATCTGAGTTTCAATTGGTGGAGCCAAGAGTTCATTGCTTTCTTTACTAAGGAGTTTTTCTTTTTCATAAAATTCTTCGCTTTTTATTTTAATTTCTTCTCTATACTTTTCATTCTTTAGTATTTCCTGCATGAATATATAGATAGGAGAAACTTAAATTTCTATTTAGAAGAAAACCCAACCTACAGGTTGTATTAAAAAATAGCTAGTAAAAAATAAAGTATATACTTGCTTTGTATTCAAATAATACATAGATATGTACAAGATGTTTGAAAAAGCTATATTACATACCAGAGTTACTTGAATTAAATAGTTCTGTCCTTATTTACTATAATAAAAAGATGTGAAGGACCATAACATAGAAATATTTACTACTCAATAAGTGAAACAAACTACTTAACATGAAATATTACACAACAGCATAACAGTCACTCTATCAAAGATTTTCTAAGCTTAACAGCTATTTTCTGCCTGAAAGCTGATCATCAGTAATCATACTTTTTACTGGAGATGAACTGAAGGAAAGATGGCCTCAGAAATGATGCCCCTACCAGTCTACTCTGTGGGAGTTAAAGTATGGATGCTAAGGCCACCCTCTATCTTGCCAGAACAAGCCCATCTGCTTTTTCTGCTTTGGAGTGGTATGGCAGTTAAGCAGAAGAATAGAACTAGAGAGTTGAGCATGCTCTACACATCAGTTCCAGGGAGCGCTTTGCAAATGGAAATGTTGCCTCAAACCAGTGCAAGCAGTTTGCAATGCAGCCTGTCTCTCAGACTTGCTATTCTATCTGTACACCCCAAATTACAAGGAATCTGTCACTGTCTTTTATTAAATACTAAAGGCCTGGTGCACAAATTCGTGGGGTCCCTCGGCCTGGCCTGCGGGATCAGGCTGAAACCAGCTCTCCGACATCCCCCAAGGGGTCCTGGATTGTGAGAGGGCACAGGCCAGGCCGAGGGACACAACTGGGGCCGGGGAGAGATGTGGGAGTTTGGCCAGCTGAGGAGGGAACGCGGGAGGGCTCCAGGGCGTGTCCAGCCCATCTTGCTCAGTCCCGATCAGCCAGACCCCAGCAGCAAGCTAACCTACTGGTTGGAGCATCTGCCCCCTGGTGGTCAGTGCACATCATAGCAAGCAGTTGAGCAGCCTTAGCATATCATTAGCATATTATGCTTTGATTGGTTGAATGGCCAACCAGTCGACCGTACACTTAGCATATTAAGCTTTTATTATATAGGACAAGGCCATCAAATTAAAAAGCACCATTGTTTGCACCACTAGAAAGCAATTAATACTCCTTCACAGCTGGTTTCAGAGATGTTAAAATTTGAAAAGATGTGCATCTTAAAAACATGAAATTCAGTCATCATATTTTTTTGCTGATTACTTCTTTCTCTTATGTCTTCATGATCAATTCTAAATGGGTGACCATTTTAATGTTCTTTTTGCTATGTTATTTTCTAATTTTTAAAAAAGAACATATAACATAAAAAAATGTGTTAATGTAATGTATCTGACAACACTGACAAAACCAAGTACTACCAAGTTAATTGTTAATTTCAACACTTTAAAATGACACTTACAAAATATATATGACACTTAACAGCAACATCTGGGAATCTAAATGTATGATGCAATCTTGGTTTCTCAAATGAATTTCAAGTAACAATAGTCCTTTAAAAACATAAGCACCAATCCTATATAATAAAAAGCTAATATGCAAATTGTCCCCTTGACTGGGAGTTCAACCAGGGGGAGGAGCCAGCCAGCCAACTGCCCCGTGGCCCCTCCCCATGGCTGGTTCCACCCTTGATCAGCCTGATGGGGGCGGGCTGGATGGACCCACCTATGCACGAATTGGTGCACCAGGCCTTTAGTATTTAAAATAATGGTTTGTACTTAAAGGGAAAAAAAGGTTTTGGGGGTTATAGTGTTACGGACTTTTAGACACAAAGGGCCCATCAAATGAAACTTCCCTCTCAAAGCAAACATATGAGGGAAAGAATATAAATATTCTTGTAATTTCCACAAAATAGACAATTCCCCACATATAGTTTAATAACCATAGTAACTATGAGTTGGGGACAGTTGCTGTGAGTGAGGGTGAGAGTAATCTTTGCCTCTCATACACTGTAAAATTCTCAGGTGATATGACCACATATCATAAAGGATCTCCCTCAATATTATACTGGGAATAGTGGAAGTAGAAGTAAATACTTGCCATGCTTCCATACTCTTCAAGATCCTCAATGAACCTTGTTTTCATGGAAGGTCTTTCTCTTGAGCAGAATGAAAGGTTCAGGACTGAGTTGAACTTGCACTAGTAACCCAACATGGGTAGCAAGAGCCTACGGAGATACTGGTTTGCCTGGCTTTTGTATGAGGATCAGCCATATGGCCTGAAGCTGCCTGTACCTACTTATTTGCTTCAGTTCTACTGTTGCAGTCTTACAGCTGGTGCAAGCTTCTGCCTTCTGCATAAAAGGAAGTGGACGGCAGAAAGCTGTTCTTTTTTCCTGCCTTCACATAATTTCTCTTTACTTACCATTACTCTGACCACTCAGTTTCTGATAACAACTATTTAGGCAAATGGAGAGCCAATCAAAATATGTTAATTAATTTAACATATGAAGATGGGATAAAGATTTCAGAATTGAAAAACATGGAGACTAATTTTTCCTAAAAAAGAATTTTCCTTTTTGTCTTTTCAAACAAAACTAATTGTTATCAGACCCTTGCTAACAGCTTCCATTAAAGTTAAACAACATAAATCATTTATGAAAGGAAATCTAGTTTTGTAAATATTTGGAATAGATAAAATGAAAGTAGATAAGTAGAAAAATAGGAATTTGTAGACTTACAGATAAACATGTCATTTTGTAAGAAAGCCTATTTTACAGTAGAAACTGCCATAAAGCATGAATTTTCCTTATATTCTCTTGGAACAATATCATCTTAAGTCTCAATATGTTTATCAGTAAAAAACAGTATGTTTCTTTCAGTTTTGTAGAGGGATAAACTGAGAGTAAGTGGGCCTTCCTTCACATGAATGTTAATATATTCAAAATAAGTATTTATCCTTTTATATACTATTACTGCTTTACTCCCTGTCAATAAATATTCTTTAATATTTTAGAAAAAAAGATGGTTGTGTGGTATTTTATCACTTGCATTGTGCCATGATTTATTTAAGGAATACCTCATTGTTGTTTCCAGTATTTCATTTTTCATTTTAAAAAAAAGCACTATGATGATCATCTACAGAGAGTACCTTGACAAAAATATAGTTTCAGTTCCAAATCTACTTCTGACTATCGGTGACACCAAGAAAGCCACTTAACTTTTTTCAGTCTCAGTTTCTTTCTTTCTTTCTTTTTTCTTTTCTTTCTTTTCTTTTCTTTTCTTTTCTTTTCTTTTCTTTTCTTTTCTTTTCTTTTCTTTTCTTTTCTTTTTCCTTCCTTCCTTCCTTCCTTCCTTCCTTCCTTCCTTCCTTCCTTCCTTCCTTCCTTCCTCCCTTCTTCCTTCCTTCCTCCTCTCCTCTCCCCTCCCCTCCCCTCCCTCCTTCCCTTCCCTTTGCTTTTCCTTCCTTCCTTCCTTCCTTCCTTCCTTCCTTCCTTCCTTCCTTCCTTCCTTCCTTCTTTCCTCCTTCCTTCCTTCCTTCCTTCCTTCCTTCCTTCCTTCCTTCCTTCTTCTTCCTTCCTTCCTTCCTTCCTTCCTTCCTTCCTTCCTTCCTTTTTTAATATGTTTTTATTGATTTCAGACAAGAAAGGAGAGGAAGAGAGATAGAAATATCAATGATGAGAGTGAATCATCGACCGGCTACTTCCTGCACGCCCCCTACTGGGGATTGAGCCTGCAACCCTGGGCACGTGCCCCTGACCAGAATCGAACCTGGGACCCTTCAGTCTGCAGACTGACCTCTATCCACTGAGCTAAACCAGCCAGGGCTCAGTCTCGGTTTCTTTATCTGAAAATGAGAATAAAGTGACAGCGCATGTATAAATATTTACATCTTAAATACTCATGTGTATACTAGTCACATTGTTAGGTCTTCTGGAAGTTTGTTAATAGTGGTTAAGAACATGGGCTCTAAAGCAAGACTACCTGTATACAAATCCCAGTTTTGCCATTTTACGAGCTGGGTGACCCTGTCAATGTTGCTTAACCCTTTCGGTGTCTGTTTCCTCTTATGTAAAACTAGAGGCCTGGTGCACAAAAATTCGTGTGCTCGGCAGGGTTCCTCAGCTGGGCCTGTGCCCTCTCACAGTCCAGAACCCCTCGTGGGATGTCTGACTAATGTCTTAGGCCTGCTCCTGCCCACCCCCCACCCCCCCCGGCCTAAGCCATTAGTTGGACATCCTTAGCACTGCCACAGAGGCGGGAGAGGCTCTCACCACCGCTGCTGTGCTGGCCAACCATGAGCTGGCTTCTGGCTAAGTGGCACTCCCCCTGTGGAAGAGCACTGACCACCAGGGGGAAGCTCCTGCATTGAGCGTCTGCCCCATGGTGGTCAGTGCGTGTCATAGCGACCAGTCATTCCATGGTTAGGGTCAATTTACATATTACCCTTTTATTATATAGGATGGAGAAAACAATACTCTCTTTTGTTGTTGTTGTTAATCCTCACTTGAGTATATATTTTCATTGATTTCTAGAGACAGTGAAAGGGAGGGAGAGATTCACAGAGAGAGAAACATCTATATGACTTTCACATCAATTGTTTGCCTCCTGGATGGGCCTCAACCAAGTAAATGCCCTTGACTGGAATCAAACCTGGGACCCTTGAGTCAAAGGGCTGATGCTCTATCCACTGAGCCAAACTGGCTAGGGCAATACTGTCTTCTTCAATGGGCTACTGTAGGGGCTGGAAAAGAAATGACTAATGAACAGTACCAACAAAAATGGGTACAGGTGGATTTTAATGATTACTTATTCCATTCCATTAAAAAATAAACACACCATAACTTGTATCCAATCCTCTTTTTCATCTCAGGGTGCAAAAACAGTCTCAATACTTATACTTTAATACTTTAAGTACTAAAAAATTTTAACCCACTAGTTTGTGATGTACATTGAATAACTTTTTTTGTGAAAATTTTGTAAATATTCATAATTTGCTGGGATG